TCCTTTGGGCACTTTGCTTAAGGTGCAGAACAACATTGGTCATATATCGGTATCTATACCTATAGTGTATTGTTCTTTCTTGTCTTCCTGACAGTTCTGTTTGGTTCGTGCTGCTGGTTTACAAAAACCTGCTGTACCCTAATAAAAAGAAACCTTTGCGGTGTAACTGTGCAGCACCTTGAGGTTTTGACTGACTGTTTATAGATATCTGAATTTTTTCTTAACTGTTCTTTCCAACAAGAGTCAATAGTAAAATATGGGCATTCATTGTTTTATTGTATATTATATAGATGTTTAACGCTATCTGTGGCAGAGTATTATAGCTAAAGTAAATAGTGTTAGTCAGCCAAAAAGTGAGTGCAGCATCCTGTGGCCATTGGCTGTGACTGAGGGTGTGTCACATCAGTATTCGTGCCACAAGCAAAATCCAAGGCTGTGGAGGCAGCGATCGCAGTGAGGCCAGCACTAATTGGGGTTGTACCCCCTGGTCTTGTCAGTACTCCTGCCACGTCTTTCGGTTTTTCCAATTCCTGGTGTAACATTAACCTTCTCGGGAATCGTCGTTTGATATTCGATAATGTCGTACCTTTCTGCCTGTTATCTTCCTTGGCAGTACCTGCTGGTATTGGGGCATAGGTCACGGTGACCAGTGAAGAGAGTGTTGTCTGGCCTCGGGGAGTACAGAACGTGATTTTTTTTTAATGGATTCCTGAACAAATCCCATTAAGACTGAAACACAGAATTCAAATTTGTTCTCGTGCAGCAGTTTTTTCTATTCTTCCAGAACACTGTAGTGGTGGCGAAGTACTGTGGACAATTTGGTTGTTGTAATTCTTAAGCTTGTTTCGTAAGTCCAGTATGTGTTTTAACACTGGATAGCAGGACTGGTATTTCCTCTATGAACCTAACTTTCCACAGGACAGTCTCCTTGTTTTCTGTAAAGGTATAAGTTGTTTTTTGCCGTAACATTTCAGCAGGTACAATAAAAAGTGTCCATTGATATACTACTAGGCAGTCCTTGAAATTGGGAAGACAAATTGAGTGTTTATACAGTGCTGTGATGAAAAACCGGCTGCAGCAGGGCATCTGCTGTGTTGAAATGCTCTGCCAGAGAGTTTGTCGGTTCTTATACGCCTGAAGGATTACCGGTGGCTTTTGTTTAAGATATTTGGTCAGTATCAGCGAATCTAGACGCTGGATGGTTTTAATTTCCCTGCTGCCTTGGTCACACTAGATTGTGGAATTTTGTATTTTGTTAATTAAATGACTTGATACCTCAAAAAACAGACGTTTACCCTCATTTACACTCATTAGGGGAGTTGCTACAGTGAAGTAGGTTAATATATGCTGCATTGATCAGTGTGTGCTTTCATTGTTAAGCAATGGACTAGCAGGCTTCTCTGTGGCAGGTCATGTCAGAGGTTTTGCCTGGAGAGCAGGGTGTGCACATGACAGACTAGATGTCACTGGCTCGAATTCTGGGCAGTGTCATGTACCAAACTCTGCTTTTTCTCCCAGGGGTGGGGGTGTGTGATTTTTGCCTCTGTGCGACAGCTCCTTCTATCACATCTAGGGTCCTTGAGAGCTCGTGGTCTTGCCCGTGAAATAAGTCTGCTCTCCCCATCCCAAGATCTGTGCCTGGGCTTGTCAGTGGAGGATGTTTCAGAGGGTATGTGTGCGCATGTCATTTGTCTTTTATTTGCATTTCATACTTATCAATGAATGTTCTGGATGTGCGTTCCGGCACATTTTGGTAGTTTAAATCCTGTCGGGTATCTTTTTTCAGAATATTCTCGGGTGTCATTGTGCACCAGCTGTTAATCCTTCACTGAGTTGGCTGACTGGAGTTTGTGCTCATGGCGGATCTTTTAGAAAAAGCCTCGGAAATAATTGAAATTGCTGGTGGCCGTGGTATACAGAGCATAAGAGATCGCAAATGAGAGGAAACAGTTGGGCCTGTCTAGCTCATTGCTCCAAGGAACTCATCCAGCTGTTTCCTGAAAGACACCAGGGTATCAACTTCAACATGGCTGGAAAGCTTGTTCCAGACTCCCATCACTCTTAAATGCATGCTTCTCCAGAGTGCAGGCCCAAGGATGTCCTGTGACTATTCTTTGATGGTATAGAGATGAATGCATTCGCGTAAAATATGGCAGACCTTCATCTAGTTACACATAGACTACTGTTTACCAAGATGCTTCTGTAATTTTCTACCTTGTAAGTTATGTTTGCTATTATCTGAAATGTTTGTTTTTGTTGTCTAAGATGTAGGAGAACAAAATGATTTCTCTGAAGCTCAGAGGTTACAACAATGGCATTTATCATTAGTGATTGTATTGAAATGGTGACTTGATTTTCATTTTAAGTGCGGGTTTTGTGTTTGTGTATGTGGAAACAAATTGAAGTATTCTTCTATAGTGCTTTAAAACTTGTGCTGATGTTTCTGAGACTTGTTTTAATTTTAGCATTAGTATCATGTCACAAAAAAAGCTTAATTTTGCAAATCCGGTGAATATAGAGGCTAGTGTTATAATAGTGTAATTTCTACTTATATTTAGTGTAATGCAAATATAAAATTCATTGGTGAACATTACATGGAATTTCAAAAACTAGAAAATGAAATTGAAATGAAGTGACGTTTAATGTCACTCCTTTTAAGTATTTTGTGGGGCCGAGGCCCACAGTTGGGTCCTGGGTTCCATTCAAATGTGGGGTGCCTTCTGTGTGGAGTTTGCATGTTTCCTCTTTGTCCCTGTGGGTTTACTCTGGATCCCCAGGTGTCTGACTGCCTGATATGGTGGTCGGGTTGATTTGTCTGAATTTGTCAGCTGTCCTTGTCTGTGCACTATGATGGACTGGTGTCCCATCCAGGGAGTAGGTTCGCCTTGTGCCCCATGCTTCCAAGATGCACTTTGGGTTGCTGTGACCCTAACCAGGAATCGGCAGCTTTCTGATGGATGGATTCCACACGTGCTGAAAAAATATTCCTTTTAAATGGTGTTGGACTAGGCTGGCCTGCCCACAAACGTCCCACCATACCACACCCACCACCCTCCCTATCTGCGTGTACCCCTTCCCACGGATTTTCAGAAACACTTCCTGCAGCGTCTTGGCACGTGTAGCCACGCTGTTCTGGAACGGAATGTTTCCGAATGCCCCTGCAAACACGCGTTTTGTCCCGAAGTGGAAGTTGCGCGGGGTCATTTGGCTCTTCCAGAGTTGTGAGTGTAATGCCGACTGGGGGAGGGGACAAAGAACTGAAATATTATAATTACTAGCATTGGAATGGACTTGAATCAGGAATATCCTGTATCTGCCACAGCTTGGTTTAGTTCTGTCAGCAGTTTTTGGTAGCATCTGTTTCAGGCACCTGGCTAAAATGCTTCTTTCCTGGGTATTCCTTCAACATTTCCCCTCTCTGGTGTCAGAAGCCAGTTCACAGGGAGAGGTTGAAGGTGCTAGTCAGATGAATGGTCAGCAGGGGGTTGGTAGCAGGCAGCCTGAAGCATTCGCAGGAGCTGATCGGCCTCTTCCGCCCTGAGACGCCTGCCCACTTATGAGGGGGTGGCCTGGCAGTTCCAGCAAGTCTGCCCTCTTCTTCGTGTCTCCCATACACCAGAGCTCTCAGGTCGCTGGGCAGCGTTGCTCACCAGAAAGTAGACAAGCGGCCTGTTTCCCCATGAGTGAAGCAGATGTCTGTGGAGTCTGAAGTGCAAGCAGCAAGCCAGTGAACTCGGGACAGTTACTGCACCCTCCCATGGCTCGGTTAAGGCACGAAGAACGCAGAGGTGCTGCGCTAGAGGGCTTGTCTATTTCGTTTTCGTCCGTGTTTCTGCTTCGCTGCGTCTCGAGTGTTCGTGGAAAGCGTGAAGTTTCAAGGTGAAGACTGTTTATCTGGTCTTGACATATTATCGTCAGGATCAGGTCTTTCTTTTTATGCTAGGATAAGGGTTATTTACATGTGAGGAAAAGGTTTGCGTGTTACCTGAGGTAAAAAAAATCTTTAAAAAATTGAAATAATTCATATGACTGCTTGTCATACGCATGGTGGTAGTGTTTTTTTGTTTTGGGCTGTAATCGCTTAATGGGTGATTAGTATGAGGACCAACAGTTTCTGATCATAAGCCTGTGTGAATCAAAGAAAATGAGCTGCTATACTCATTTCATGGTCTTGTGGTTGATTGTTGGCTTATGTAATTTCTGCTGTGCATCCTTTATAATTCAAGACTGCAGGACTGCATGATGCTGGAGTACCTATTCAGGCTGTCTGAAATGCTGACCAACAGTTTCGGCATATTGGATGTCTCAGATGTGAATGAATGGAAGTGAAATGAATGGGATACTTTAGACTTTGATTTTGTTGGACTGGTTTGTGTTCCTTTTGTGCTTCCTGGCAGTCAGGTTAGATGGGGATTTTTGGGAAGTACATTTTCTGAAATTGTTCAGTTACACAGAAAAAGTTAGTGAGATGTTGGTCAGTGCCAGGGCATAGAGAATCACATAGATGGCAACAAGTAAGAGTGGAATTTGCTGGGATGTTCGCATGTGCATTGCTGCTATAAAGGAACGATTCAATGTGGACTGTAGAGTGAGTACTGGCAGCGAGATCTCGAGAGAGGCAGAAATTGTAAAAGGTAGCTTTTAAACATGTTGTGTTGTTTGTTCAAGAGGTAGAAAAGTAAGATGGAAATGTTAGTCCTAGTTGTGACTGGTTTCATTGTCAAAACTGTCTGTATAGCCCCTGTTTGAAAGAACTGTTCCATGATGGGATTTAAAAAAGAGCTTTTAATTAAATCTCATTGACGCCATGTTCTCGTACTCTTTGGTCATGTTTTTAAGAGCGAGTACACAGGAACACTTTGTTGCACCTTTTCTTCGCTGCAGAAAGGCAAGAGCCACTGTCCTTTGGCACCTTAGTTGGGACTAAAATGTAATGTTTCTTTGGCAGTGCAAAGTACCGTCCGCTTTCTTCTCATGATGCCTCTTTTTTTCTCTTCCAGGTTTGTGAATGGATTGTGTGATCCGGCGCTGAAGAATCTGGATTTGGATCACTTGCGACATTTGGATCTGACACAGTGCAGCACGTACCCTTGCTTTGTGTTTGTGGGGAGACAGAGCTTGTGGCTCAGGGAACCTATGAGCAGGCGCTCCCAATGAGGAACAGCCACTGCCTGTGAGATCTGGGGGCGTTTCAAGGTAACTGCTTTCTGACAGCACTTCCCTCTTCCACGTCATTTAGACGTTTGCAGATCGGTAAGAGAAGTTCATGGTTGCAGTACTTGGATGACCAGTGAGCACTTTCTTAGATGATGTTGGGTCCAAAAGCTGTGGTAGAAAAATGAGTAGTGCAGGCAACTCGGTTAATAGTTCTCAGTTTCTGTCGTAACATAAATGTGGATCTGGATGAGACCACCAAAGAGAATATGGTGTTAGTGTAGATGTGCGTTAAAACAAGTGGATAGTACACAGTAGCACAGGGATCTGTCCTTCACAAAGCTGAATATTTGTAGTTGCATGTCTTTTTATTTTAGTGAGGGGAAAAGTTTGTCATCATGTTTAGTTCTATCTTATCAATCATCCATGAAGATCGGAAGGCTTCTTCTGGCTGGGGGGGAGCCAAAGAATCAGCTTTTTCAGTGCATTTTTTGTCCTGATGTCTGGTCAAAATAACTTTTTAAATATCTGGATGTTGTTTTCATTCTGGTCAGGCAACTAATTTGCTGAGCAGGGGGTTGGGATTAACCCACATGCTAATGATGTCAGCTAGTGAGAAAAACGGGGAGTAAATGT